TTTTCAAGAAAATACTTTTTCTTTAAAATGCCCAATATTACACTGTTTATTATCACAGCATCAAAAGTAGATGAAGCAAATAAAAGCTGCAAATCCAAAAGAGGATTAAGGAAGATTAGTGATCAAGAGTAGAGTCATACAAGTGGTTTCCTTTGTAGATGCTACCAACTGTTTTGAAAGCCAGTATACTTAAAAATAGATCTTCAAAATGTAATTCAAATTTTACAATGCTTCCTTTGGCCCAGTTTTTCAGTAAGCCCCCTGAAATTCCAGAAGGCGAGAGATTCAATGGAAAGAAGAACCAGAGTTTACAAGCATTTCTCTTCCAGGATGCTGCAGTTTGTAATTCTGGTCTTTTTCTATAACTTCCTGTACTGCCATGGAAGTAAGCAAAAAGCTTAACAGTGTGGTGTGCTATCTGGAGTAGATTCAACACTAAATATGCACAGTGAATATATGTATTCACTGGACTGTAGGCAAAGTCTTTACCAAAAGCTCCAGTCAGAGGAATGATTTTTACAAGGTTTATTGACCCCTGCAACCAGCAGAAAGCTAAGCAGTTAATTAAATCCTCACCCAAGATCATGCGGATTTTGAGATATTCCTTGTATTGGGTTTATGTGGCAGATTTTGGGCAACTGGGGGAGTAGGGGGGCTGCAGAGATGGTACCAGAAGATGCCCCATGTCAGACAGAGCCAGTTTTAGCTGTCTCCAAGCTGGACCAGCTGCTAGCCAAGGCCAAGCCCACAAGCAGCACTGGTGGCACATCTCTGATAACATACTTAAGCAAGCATAAAGAACACGGCAGAGTAGCTGCGAGAAAGGAAGGAGAAAACATGAGAGAAACAACTATGCAGATACGATCAGCGAGGGGGAGGAGGTGTTCCAGGTGCCAGAGCAGAGATCCCCCCATAGCGACGCAGGCTGTCCCCTGCAGCCCATGGAGGACCACGGCGGAGCAGAGATCCACACAGCAGCCCATGGAGGATCCCACACTGGAGCAGGTAGCTGAGCCTGAAGGAAGCTGCAGTCTGTGTAGAGCTCAAGCAGGAGCAAATTTTCTAGCAGGAACTGTGGCCCGTGTGGGAACCATGCTGGAGCAGAGTGTTCCTGAAGGACTATACCCTATGGAAAGGGCCCATGCTGGAGCAGTTCTTGAAGGACTTCAGTCCATGGGAGGGACCCACCTTGGAGAAGGTCATGAAGGACTTTATGTGCGTGAAGAAGGAGGAGTGGCAGAGACAGTACATTATGAACTGACTGTAACACCCCATCCTCATCCCCCTGAATTGTTTGGGGAGACATCTGGAGTGAAGCTAAGCCTGGGAAGAGGGAGATGTATGGTGGAAGGTGGTTTTAGTTTTATTTCTATCATACTCTTCTACAGTTAACTGGCAATAAATTAATTTCCTCAAATTGAGTCAGGTTTGCCTGTGACAGTAATAAGTAAGTGAGCTCCTTGTCCCCATCTTGACCCATACAAGCTTTCATTGTATTTTCTCTCCCAATCCTGCTGATGGAGGGGACTGATAAAGCATCTTGGTGGGCACCCGGCAGCCAGCCAAGATCAACCCACCACACATCTGCTGCAGTTGATCATCTCATAGCAGCTGAGCACAACTATTAGAGCAGCAGTCACTAAAACAGAATTTAAATCTTTTGTAAAGACAGATCTGCAATGATTGGATGTTAATAGGATAGTATCTGGAGTGTGAGAGTCACCTTGAAAGGGACACCATAAAACTAAAACCAGTAAAATCAGTAAAGGAAGTACTTCTCACAAAGACAAAAGTAAATGGGCAGGTACCTGAAATAAGAAGAGATCTGAATGAACTCCTGGGAAAGAGGGAGTCTGCTCACAAAATATTTTTTTCTTCTCCCTTCCCAAACATCCTGGGTCATGTGTTTTTACAGTAATTCTCATCATCGCCACACACATAGTCACAGAATGACAAACTGGTGTAAACAGACTAACTTCCTTCATAAATGAAAAGCATTTGCATGAAAGATTTCTGTGATGCAATTATTGCCACTTTGGTTTATTTTGATGTGCTTTATCAGTGAGAAACAAAAGCAGCTACTGCACCTTAGATACTCAGATCCTGGTATGACCCAGATTCAGATTTGATTGCTTGTCTTTTGTAGAGTGATCTGACAAAGTTTTAAAGCTTACAGAGACAATGGAAAATCTCAGCCAAATAAAATAAAAGGAGAGGGCTGGAAGCTATACTAGCTCCAGCTTGCTCTGTTGTTCCAGACAGATCAGCCAGGAGACTAAAAATATGTCTTGAATCAGCAGCACTGTGTGTGTGAACTGTTCGCTCAAGGAAACACATTGCCTATGGAAGTTACAGTGTAGTGGGCACCTACTACCTAGTTTTAAGGATGACACAACTGTTTATGCTCTCCATTAATGAAGAGCTCAAGAAATCTGGAAAAACTTGCTTAAAATACTCAGTATCTCTGCAGCCCAGGCTTGAGAAGACAGAAGTGTGGATAATTCTGCCAGAGAAGTCAGGCCCTCCATGCCCACCCACACACTTGGGGCACCATGCACACTAGACCTCTCATCTAAAGCTCCTTGAGCAGAGGTAGACCTCAAACCCCTGAGATGAAAAATATCACACAAACAGCAAAATTATAAGCACTTCCACATATTTAATAAACTTAGATTTAGTCAGATCTTTCATAGCTATTCCAGAAAGTCTTGGAAAGACTGATATGGAAAAAATAGCAAAACATTATACAAAGTCTTTCATGTTCCCCAGGACTTCCATCACCACCACAATGTAAAGTTACCTCTCTTGCCCACACAGAAGTCACCATCTACATGAATTGAAGCAACAACAACAACAGAATAAATTAAGAGAAACACACAGAAGAGTCAACAGCTTGGTAGTGTCCATCATGAGAAACCAACACTTAGGTACCCACCACAACCAAGGCATCTCATATTATGTATCACAGCCACCCTCCCTGGTAGTCAATCCTACCCTTGAGATCAGAAACCCAGTGTAAAAGTTCAGAAATTCCTTCAACCAGTTACAGTTTTGTCAAATCAAATAAAAAAGAAAAAACATATATATACACATATTGGCTGGCACAATCAACTGTAAAGACCCTTCACCACTCACAGTTTCATGCAGCTTTCTTAAATAATGAACATGATTACAGATTCGATCAAATAGCTTCCAGGCTCCTGCACACCAAGCTTTGTATATACATGGGAAATAAAAATATTTTTCATTTTCACAAAACAAAACCAGAAGCAGCGATATGTTTTTTTTCACTCAGGGCATTACCAGGACTCCAAGAACAAGCCCCAGGAACTGAGAAGCTCAATCAGAGATGCCAGACTGCAGGTGCCTCAGGCTATGGAGCACTCCTAGCTGCCTCAGACAGGAAACCAAGCAAGTTTCAGTGGCCCCTGAGCATAGTTGAGGAGGTTTTATCAAAATAAAAAGTTCTTCCTGAGTAGCTTTTTGGTTGTGATGATTTGATAAGAGTTCTGTCTGAAAAAAATTCCAATTACTCAATTACATAATAATATAAAAAAATCCATATACCCAATTAAATCCAAAATCCAATTATATTGATAGTATTTGGAATTTATACTACAGGACCATACTTGTCCTGGGAGGGTAGAAATAATGCCATGGTCTTTTGGCTTTCTTCACCCTTTCCACACTCCCTTTAATATCATATCATGGGGTCCCCATTTCAATCCCCTTTCCTCCCTTCTCATGTTCCCCACACTGTCGCATGACAGAGACCTCTGTGTCTGAGAACACGTGTCTTTCCATTTAACCCATCTTACACACGCAGATCTGTGGGCCCCTTGTTCTACTCTTCACAGCATTTTTCCTGAGGTCTCTGACCCTGTCAGAGGCCACTGGGATAACATCCCACTGCATCCTCTCTGTGTGCTCCTTTCCTTCACTTCACAGCAGATGCTAAACAGATTCCCAATTCCTTCTTCTCCCCTTCTGCCAGGACTCCCCTCTCTCCCCTCATACTTGGGGCTCTTGAACATTCCCATCCCCACTGTCCCTCCCTCTTACCCTCAAGTTATTATCAACAGTAGACACTAATTATGCAAAAAAACCCTGTTAACTGACTGAAGCAAAGCTGTGTGCCAGAGCAGCTTGCTGTAGTTTGATCTGAAAGTAGTTTCCAGGAACATGCTGGGAGAGAAACAATTGCACGTCAAATGAGCCTGATGAGAAAGCAAGAGTAGGCACCACACACATCCTCCCAGCCCCAGCCTGCAAGTCTTAGGTGGGCTATGCAATGCTCTACATGAAGCACCGGGGAAAGGAAGACACAACCTGACACCAAAACAGTCATCAACAAGGAAGCGGGAATATTTTTTTTACAGATTCAGCTAATATATTATTCTCTCCCTCTTCCCTCTCCTAAGAGCAGACAAGAGTTTTCATGGGTCATTCTTCCTAGTGGTTTCCTGTTCAGCTAGTAAGCCCAGAGGCTCAGCAGCCCAACAGAAAGGGGAAGAAGTGTTGGTGTCTTATATAGCTCTCCACCTTGAGATCTGCTTATATGGTTTGGATTTTTTTTTCTTTTTACCGCATTGACGCAGCAGAGCTCTGGGCTTCTTTCTTTTTTTATGTGTTCTCACCACCAAACCACAACCTTTTGAAGGTACATCAATTGCCAGTTTCACTATACTCAGAACAGCACTTCCGACTAAGCCAAAAAACTAAGTGCAGGTGTTGTTTGCTTGTAGGCAAATTGTTTACAACTCACTCAGCTTTTCTGAATCAATGGAAAGAAGGAGCAGCAAATCTGCTTTCTGAGGTAGAGTGAGTAATGAAATGGGTACGTTGCCCGAACTTAACAAGCAAGACAAAAAAAACCCAAAAAACAACCCCAACCAACCCACTAACAATCATTTAATGCATGACAAACTTGATGTGTTGTCTCCCCTTGCCTGCGGCAGTCTCCTATAAGAGAGAGACAAAATAGAAAGAGAAATACTCACGCATGTCACCAATCGCTCCTTTTGTGACATTTGTGGCTTTCCTTACTGTCACAGTGAATATGTGTGAATATTGGTGTTCCACCTGGAAGTCAAAGAGTTAGAGGTGATTAAGCTCCTGAAACAAAAAAACACTTAGCAAAATAGGTTTCATTTTGTCCAAAAACTGAGAGAGAGAAATCACCCAGTCAAAATGTAAGTGAAACTCATACTGGATAGAACATCTTAAAGCTGAACTGCACCCTGTAGCTTTACTGAAAGGTCAGACCTTCTACTGGGGTTGCTTGATTTTCCTGCAGCCACACCTACTAATCTAAATACACTCCTCCTCTCTACAGAACCTGCTTTAAGGCATTTAGTCAGTCAGGGACAACTTGGTACAGTAAGGAAAAAATAAAAAAGTAAAAAGGGCGCTATTTTACAGTGTGCTTGTCTTTGTAATTACCTTCCCCCAGTAAAAAGAATGGGTGCAATTATTTCAAAGTATATGTTCTGGAACAGATACATGCATACTGCACACGCAAGTGATATAGTTAGCATTGCATGGAATATACCTTTTCAGTACACATCAATATTCAAAGTGCAAGTGAACTTAATATAATGGAGGTAAGGTGAAAAGCAAGCTGTTAAAACATTCACAAGAAGATTTCATGCAGTTTCTGGAGATTCCTGTTTCCTGCAAGTCCAAGCACACAGCAGGAGATGGCTTTCTAAGAGCAGATCTGTCCTGAACAACCGGAGAAGTTAAAAAAGACATGACATTAAGAAACAAAAGTAAAAACTTTAATGAAAAGAGGTCAGTAGCTCACATTTATTGTTACTTTACCTACACAGCTGCGAGTTTGACCAACCTACTAAATACCATTATGAGCATCACCACTGCACGCTGCAAGGCACACAACATTGGCCTTTACAGGGACACAGTACAGAGCTTGTGGGTGAGTTATGTATTAGAGCCAGGATCAGCTCTCACACAATTGCCTCTCAGCACTTACATCTACACTGCTATCTGAAAGCCAGTCTTAAGACACTCAAGCTTCCCAACTACTGACAGTGCCTAGACATTGACTCACACACCAGTACAACCTGGAGGGCACCAACTTGCTCTCCCGCAACAGAAAGTGGGGCACTGGGAGGGGACCTCCTCACACCCGAGCTCTGTCTCTACAAAGAGCATCAGGTCCAAGCTGCCTGACTTGTACAGCTCAAGCCGCTGTATCAGAAGCATCCCTCCCACAGGACCGCAGGGCCTGGCATATACAGTGGTACACCCCACCTCAGGTTTCCATTTCTAGAACTGATACAGTGATATTTTCTATCTTTTCCTAACCACCCATTAACTTTGTGAAATACATTAAAATAAATACTGCATTTGGTCATTGGCACCAAAACAACTAACTAAATATATCTTACAACATAGTCCATTTAGAAGAAAAAGGGGGAAGTAGCAAAATCAGGGAATTCACTGAAGTTTATTTAAGATGGTAGACAATACGTTTGATATGAGACATCAGACACCCTTATTCAGGCTGTGCCGGGTGCTCTCTTGCTATGTTTTCATCAGGATACTCCCCCCCCCCACTTTTTTTTCTATGCTTTTAAAGGAACAAACAGATCAGGCAACAAAACCCTTCAACCCATACATGGCTTAGTTTTTAAACAACACATGCCTTCATTTAAGCTACTGCTGCTTCAACTGCCAGACTTTATAAGGGCCTTCAGGTGGTTCTCAGAGCTATTTCAGAACTGGTTGTTTCAGCCAAGCCTCATTATTTCACATCTACAACATGTTTACACCCAAAGACTAGAACCAAATTGGAGTCTTCTAATACAGATAAACAATAACAAAAAACGAAAGACAGTGTCTTATAGGTTATATATCATTTTCTCAAAAAAAGAAAAAAGCCAAAACCAGTCTTCTAAAGACAGCAGAAATGGCTTGTGAATGCATAAGTAACAGTTGAATCAGGATGCATTATAAAACCAACACAAATGACACCAACACAAACTCCTCCAGAAGTCTATAGTCTAGAGGTCTTCAAAGGCATAGATGCATCACCATGGCAAAGTATCCAGGAGAAAATGCCCACAGTTATACTGAGGGTATGATTTCACTGCAGACACTGGCTGATCCAGACGCTGAATTGTTGCATCTTTATTAAGGCTATAATCACCCACATGTTGTGACAACTGCTGGAGGCTCACTTCATGATAGTCTGCCCAGCAGTAAATTTCAACTCTAATTTTTCCCCTGTAAGCTGTAGGAGTTGTCTAGTTCAAAGAGCAAGCTATCAGGCAGGGGGAAAACCATGGCAATGTAAACTATTACCTTACAAGTGGTATACTGAAATAGTCATTGCACAGCAAGTGGTTCACCAACCACAGTAAAAATGGAATCCAGACTCTAACTGATTCTCCCAAGCAGGACCGTTAACTCACTACAAAAGTATCAAACACAAGAGAAAGGGTTTAGATGTGAGACTTGAAAGCTGTTAAGAAGCAACACCTATTTAACAGCCTGCCTTGTGCTGACATGAAGACACACAAATGATTTCATGACATCCATCACCTTTGGCACCACAGCTTCCAAGAATGAACAGATGGCTGGGAAGGAGGATGGGAGCTCTCCCTGAACAAACTTCTGCCTCTGCCACATGGCAAAAAAAAGTCGAGAGTTTTCCATCACAGCAGGGTAAACATGGATTTTAGTGGTTATCTGGAAACAACTGGTACTACTGCGTACACAGCTACATAAAGTTTCCCCAGCTCTGTCATTTACCCTGCTTCAAGAGTCTTTACAAGTTGTGAATCTCCAGGAAACAATGGCTCTCACTGTTTCTTGTTTTCAGCTTGCTTCTTCAGAGTGCTCAAAGCTGTTTTATCAGTGTGTGCCACCTTCACATGCATGTCAGATCACTGAAGGGTCAGTTTCACAATGCTGCTCAGAGTTTGCTCACACAGACTGATGTAGTTCCTTCGTCATATACAACCTTATAATCAAGAGAAACTGCCCAACATACAAACACATCACCCTTCTCCTTATTCTTAGATGTTAAGAAAGAGCCTGTCCTCACTAGACACCACAAATCAGAGATCACTGAACGTTTAGCAACAAAGAGAAGGATGAAGTTACAATTAAGTTGCAAGTATGGGACATGGGCATGCCAGATTTAGTTCTCAGCTGCTATGTGGAACTCGTGTGCAAGTCTGGTGCCCCAGAGTCCTGGCTGTAAAATGGAGATATGACAAGACACTCACTGACAAAAAACACTTCAGTAAAGTAACTCTCTTGTATCACCTTGTCACACGCCTGAAACTCATAGGCCTAAATAAAATGCCTACCATCAAAACAAGGCCAAACCACCACTTACTGGTGTAGTCTCATTACAGAGAGATCATCCCTATTTTCTCTTAAATCCATAACTGTTTTGCTAATCTATCACGAGAACTGCTTTTAAGTGACTTAAGCAGCAAACTTTGTCATTCCAGATGTTGTTCTACCAAGAAAGTTAAATTTGGTTTAAGATCTGGTATCCTCTGAAATGAATGAGAGTACACAGAAGTCTGGCAAAACAGAAAACCAATATCTTCTTTCCCCACGCCTCACCCAAAATAACACACTGAGGCTTATAATTATAGTTATTAGTATTTAGCCATAATCACATGCCTGGAAGAAAGTTGCAACTACTAAAATAAACAATCTCCCTCTTAATAAAAAAAATAATACACAGAGATACACAGGAAGCTCAAAAGTCTAGATCTTTTCTTACCTCAAAATAAACATTTTTCACGCAACTTAAGAGAAATCAGAAGTTAAGGCAATTTTCAATTTAGGATCCAGTTTCTAAGGTTATTAGAAGGTCTAAATGTCCATATTAACAGCTAGCACGACTTTCAGCTTATTTTGGTTAGTTTTTGGGAAGACTTGAGTTCTAAAGAAGTTAGACGCCCCCTGAAGATACCACAAGAAATGTATTGACTTTGAATACCTTTATAAATCCAGTCCTTGCTAGTTTAGATGACTAAGCTGCATTTTCTCAAGTGACTTATTTTCACCTTAAGTCTTGATAAAATCTGTACATTGCCAACTCCTCAATTCTGAAAAATACATGACGGCATATAAATCACTTAAATGTTGCAACACTGAGTGGAGCAACACCTGCATACCTTTAAAAAAATCTAAGCCAGGTTAAAAATTTCAGAAGATCACAATTAACTCAAAAACCTAAATCCTGTCATCCAAAGTGACCTAGCTTTATATATGTGTTTGATTTCACTTCTTTCTCCAGAAATTTAGAGAAGAAAACAAAAAAAAAAAATAGTTTTCAACATGCCCTCTCTGAACATGGGTTTCCTGAACTACAGAAACTCCTGTGGATAGTATTCACTCTACTGGTTCAAATCACAAGATTTTCCAAGTATCCTGCACAGCCATGGCTCAGTATCTCCTGTTCTCACAAAGATCTCCATCTCTTCTACTCCTCCTCATGACTCCTCTGTTCCTCTCCCACCTTCAACTGCCTTTTTTCCTCCCAGTAAAATTTTCCTAATTATCTGTTTCCTCTATTTTACATATCACTGCATTTGTATGGACATAAACACCATTACCTTCCCACGACAGAATTGAGAAACAGAACATGCTAAGATCTCCTGTAACACAATTGGGTTTTACCTGTGAACTTTCTGCATTTACTGAGAAAGCAAGGGATTTGCATGCGTTGGCTATAATATTTTTTATATCCCAGAATGCTGAGTCACAAAATGTAATTCAATCAGGAGATATGCTTGCAGACAAAATACCAAACAGGAAGCTCTAGTATAGACAGATTATATAGTAAGTATTTACTATTCTATTTTTACTTCCTTAAAATTAAGGACACTTGAGCTGACTATTGGGCTGGACAAATGAAAATGTTTGCCTGTTCTCTTAGGTAACAGATTTTCATAAAATCTAATGCTCTTCTTTCATGGGGTATTACAATTAAGACAAACATTTGTGCAAACACATATACAAATTTTATCTTGAAGTTATTTTTTTCATTGTTATAATGCTTATCCCCCATATCAATGTAACTGAAGATGTATTACACATCATATTTATTCTCCAAATCCAAAAGCATTTTTGGTAGTCATTTCTGTCTGTACCTGCAGTAACTTTGTGAATGCCTTATTTTATTCCTCTTTCATAAAATGTTGAAAAAAACCACCAAAAAATAAAGAGATCAGAAAACACATAATCATTAACAGAAGGACTTTTGGAAAACGCAGATTTTTGAGTCTTTTAGTGCCAAATATCATTAAAAATTCAAGACTTTTTAAATTTATATTAGCCTGCTGCCCTTGACTGTTTTAAGTTTTAGTAAAACATCCCATGCAATTTCATTTTTCAAATTAATAAACCTGAAAGATATCCATTCACTTTTCAAGAAATTATAGGATGAGCTCTTGCATTAACAGTGTTCCCTTCTACATTAGAAACATTCCCACAGCAGCTGTTCAGCACTGCCAGAGGACTGTAACTAAGTAAACTTCTAAGGCTCCATTTTGTCCATTATATATACATATATTTGTATCAAAAACAATCTTTTATGCAAATATTTCAATGAAGTATTACTCAGTGCCTCAGAGACCTCTCCCAAAAGGTACAGAACAGATGAAGCATTCCATCCAGGAAAGGGCACTGATGTAGAAAGGAGCAAGTTAGCGTATTTTTTTAACACTGTTAAATACAGACATCAGCCTGAAACCTGTCTTTACAGCAGCGTTCACAGAACTACGGAGTGAGTAAAAGACAAGTTTGACATCTGCTGGCTGCAAATTCATGTAAAGGATGTGACTGCGTGGGGTAGAAACCACATAATTGATAAGAGATCATTTCAAGGAAGCATAGGCTGTATTTTTAGCCATGTAGAAGTTCAACATTATGACAAGCACATGGTAACTCTGAGTACACCGTGAAATACTGGGACTGTTACAAAAAGTGCTTGATATGAACACACCCAGCTTGTTTCAAGGTTTCAGTTTGAGTGGGAATTGCAATTTCAGTGTTTACTTTGGAAAGTCACTCAAGCAAAGATATGTATGAATATTACAGCTGAAAGCCAGCATCAACAAGCTGCTAAGCTGCTCCACCTGCTTGCCATCCAAAGGGCAGGTTTTCTCCCATTTCCCTTCTCCTTCCCTTGCCCCCGCTTCTCTACTTATACAGGTTGGGCTCTCATGATTGTACCCTTCCTTTGGACCAGCTCAGACAGCAGAGAACTAATCTTTTGCACTGAACCGTTTTCCTGTCAATGCAGCAAGGTCAGTTGGCTCACTTCGGTCACATACATCTGATAGCTGGTACAAGGAACGCAGCAGGAACACGGGAATAAAGCAAGGAAAAAGGAGCAGGAGCTTTTGGTAGCAGTACATTGTTGAGTGGCACAGATCATTTCACTGATACCTACCGTTTGCAAAGCTATATTTTGAAGATTCTCTTTGAATTAACATCACTGATCCACACTAGTTTAAGATCTAAATATCCAAAATTGCTGATTTATCCTGCTATCCATACTGATGAAAAGGCAAAAGTTATTCTGTAACTAGAATTGTACAAGAACAACTGTACTCTATGGGAGAATTGTTCTCTAAGAGACACATGATACTACTTTCATAGATCACAGTTCAGTTTGACAATCAGTGTGTGGAAAACCTCTATCAAATAGTCAATAACAGTCACTTTGATGAAACATTTTGAATGGGCAAGTCCATTAGAACGGTACCCTAAGATGACGTACCCGTGAGGTTATTAGGAGCCCATATTCCATTTTGATTTACACATGAGCAAAAAAAAAAAATTACACTCAAAGCTTTGACATGTTTTTGAAAAGCTAACTTGTATCTTTCAAACTTCATTCAAATAAATTTCTGAAGACATTTGCTCTCAGCACACTCAGCATTTCTTTAAAGAAATAATAACTAAGGCTGTGTGCTTATTTAGAGTAACTTCTAGTAAGACATATTATAGGAGACAGTATATATTATACAAGATGGTCTACACAGAAGATTCAAAGATACTTACCACAATGTGTTGATAAGGATCTATGACAGACATTTTGCCTTTCTGTTCAAGACAACTGAATTCAACACAGAAGAGGCTTCCAACTGTTTCAAAGCAGAGGTTCAGTATGACAGATCCTTTAGCTACTAAATGAAAAAATGTAATTAAAATTCTTATGTTCCTTTAAAACTATATTTTGTAACAGAGCAAATTAGTTCCTCCACTTTAAGAGGGTTTCCACAATTTGTTTACCAAGAACTTAATTTCATACAAACTGGAAGTATAGATGTTTACTTGCCTGAACTAGGGAAATTTCTTCTGCTTATTTCCTCTACCTCAGGGTTGGAGCACCAAACAAATATCTTGAATTCCAGTCATTCAAGTGTTTCTAGCAGCTCTACAGATAAACAAAAGAATAGAGCAATTACATTCAACCATTATGTACATTCAAATGTATATGCTCCCCTGCATTACAATCCTAGTTAAAAAATAAAAAAATCAGTGCTTAGTTAATAGCTTTTTTATTGCAGTGACAAATTCTGGGTTCCCATGCTTTGCTTCTACACTGAGATGCTCACACGGTCAGGACAGGACAGAGACAAAGTTCCCCTTCGTAGTGCACTCACCACCAAGGGACATGAATTTTAGAACTGAAAAGCCAGTTGGAACACTAACATAACAGTCAGCAACTTGCACCAGACAACTGCGACCCTCCGTCATAAGGGTCTCTTTAGCCACTTTAACACAACTTTTCATACCACTTTCACTTTGAAAACTTCTTCAACAAACAACAAATTCCCAGAAGTTGCACACAACTGCACCTAAGGAAATAACAAAACCCAAATTCCAGCATCTAATCCACAGCAACAGCACAGGAGAGTTCATTTGGCAGTTGCTCATTCAACACTAGACGAGCAGCAATAATGCCCTCTGTAAACCTGGGAAGGGAATTCCAGCTGAAGCTGTGCATAACCTCCCTGGCCACCCCAGTTGCCTAGAGATTCATAAGAGGCTTTGATGAGCAAATTGCAAACCAGCTGCCAGGATTTAAGCAGGCTCTTCATAGGCCACTGTCTTCTGAACACTCTAAAGATTTCTACTGAAATCAGGGGCCACCAGAGGCCTTACACTTCAGAACTGTTTCCAACCATCAAAGTAAAATATACTAAAAAGGATATTCCTTTCTGCATCTGTAAACAAACATGAAAATTGCTGGACAGGATCAGTCCTCAGATTCAGCTGGATCACTGTCAGACCTGAACCATCAGCAGAAGCTTCAGACTGAAAAGAAAAAAAGTACCATGTGGGGCTTGGTCTCAAGGACAATTCCTAGTCCTCAATTTTGAAAGAGCAGAATAAGCCCTAGAGAATGATGATTTATGTCACTCCCAAAACCCTTGCTCTCAAGCAATTATGGGCAGGCATTTCCATAAAAATTTTGTTTCATTATGATCACTAGAACATTATGATATCTATTCTTTAATCCTGTCAGTCCTAACAATAGCTTGAGGCTAGAAATTACTCTGGTTTTATTTTTTTGTTTAATTTAAGAAAGTCTGAATAAAAAAAGACTTTAACATACATTCAGTTCATAGTTTTCATTCGAGGCAGCTCAATGCCAGGGCAACAGGAACAAGCCATCTTTATCACAGAAAGCAAGTAGCTTTTCAGACTTAAAGGGAAATCTCTAACACACAAATCCACCATTGCTTCTCGTACTTCAGCAATAATTGCAAAGACTTATTTTTATTAAAATTCTATCAGCCAAATTCAGCAGTGGCATAAACAGGCAGATGGGTGGGAAGTAACACTGTTTATAGATTTATTGTATAGCTGGTTTGTTACAGTCAAGTAGGACCCAAGCTAAAATAAAACTAGGACATCGGAGAACCTGGTAAACAAGACCTGCTCTATCAGTTTTTGAGGAACTGTGGCAAACTTCAAAGGCAATCAAGAAAACAGAACAGTGAGGGCTATTCAGCCACTGTAATGAAGAGGAAATTTGTAAGTCATAAAACAGAAAATACACTGATTCCCCTAACTGCACATTCAACTACCAACAAGTTACCAAACTCATTTTGAGAAGATACACAAAACCAAGCTGAGGATACTGGTCTATCTGCAGAAATAAGGAAATGGGTTAGGCCTAGGATGAGAAGCCTGGTGCAAGTTATTTGTCTAGAATCCTAGAGGCAGAGTTCCAGTTCTCCAGATCATCACTCAAATGGTTGACTGGCTAGACATGAGATCATTCTTGCTCTTCCTATAACCCCCTGCCTCATTTATTTCAACATCTGGAGTAAACACATTTGTGATCCTGCAAACAACAGTCTCTTTGACTACAGAGCCTTAATGAATCCCCAAGCACCATCTGTCCTCCATGTTGAATGAGGCAAGCATCATGCAGAGAGACAAATATGCAATAACGTAATTAACAACGGTATCACAAACTGCAAAAATTGAAAGCTAAGTATATACAGGCAGAGTCTCTGAATAGGGAGAAAAGACCCAGGGAGCAAGTTGACCCTGATGTGATAGGTGAAGTCTAATCCCCTGGTTTCCCATACAGCACCACCTAACAACATGACAGATGCCAGCCCTAGTCGTGACAGTATTACTCCAAATTGGAGCTCTTGGTTTGCCATCTTAATCACAGTCCTTCAGAATGTGATAAACAGAGGCAGGTGTCTTTGGGTGGTATCCAGTGTCATTTCAGACATGAGAGTGTACCTGAGGCACCCTGGGGCTGCAGATGGACAGGTATCAAGAAGACAGCAGGACATCTTAACTGGTAGCAGACATCTACGTTTAAGTGACTTGAATACTTCTGTCTTTTACAGTGGATTTAATTCAAATCAGAATCACATGACCCTCATTACACCACACCCTTTGCAAGCTTGCACTACATTATAAATGGAGTTTGGGTTAAGCACACTAATATATTTCTACATCTAAAATCTTAGTGTGGCAGAGAAGACAAAATACAGAAGCTGTCTATTATGCTCATCAGGAGCTGCAAAGAAAGTCTTGAAGAATGTTTACTTCAAACATCTGCACTGAGCAGTAATCCCAAAATTATCTCACTTAACACTGCCACTATATACTGTCCATCCCACAAAGCCTAATGGAAAAATCATCAAATAATTAACCACAAGCACATACAAAGAACTGAACTCTCGTTGAAGCTGGCAGCAGGCCAATCCTTGACAGACTGCAGGGGAAGTAGTGCCTCTAAGCAGATCTTCAAGGATACTTTAATATTATTAACATGTATTGTTTCGTTTCCCTGATTTCGGGTGGTACCGCATCTTCTGAACTGTGCTGTTCCCAGGGCTGATAGCATTCCTTCCCAAAGGACTAGCAAAGCACCTCACAGGCAGTGCCTCAGAGCATAAATTCTGTCAGTTCTTACAGTATCACCAGAATTAACTAAACTGGCCAGACTGATTAACGATGTATTTCTTGCTCTTTTATGGACAATCTGTAAACCTGGACATTTCTCAAAGGCCATAGCAAACACAGCCTCTTGAACAGGCCACAGTTTAGCTTGGTCATGTAACACAGACACAGCTTTCTGCTAAATTCCTAAATCTTACTTTCACCCAAAAGTGAACTCTACTTTTGTCAGCCGAAGATTTAATTGTCAGGCACAGTTTCAGGCATCAAAAGTAGGAAGCTATTAGTGGATAGGTGGATCACTGTTTAAATCAAGACTCTTCTGTGGTCTTAGCTTGTTTTCCCTTGAGGTGACAGACTGAAACATCTAAGGGATTACTGCCTCTACAGACAAACAATAACAGAGTAATTTCCACAAAAAGAAGTTGCACACACAGAGAGAGATTATTACTGGAACATTTTCACTCTCAGTGTTGACCCAGTAAATTCCTACAGATAATTCAGTTTTACAGGATATGTTGAAAAAAAAAAAAAAAAAGGACAAGAAGAATGATGAGATTTTCCCATTTCATGCTGAGTATGAGCTTACTCCATTGTTAGTCTCACTAAGCACAAAAGCTCTTAAAAATGAGTAAAGGCCAACACAGTATGCATCTTCACCATGCAAAATATAGGTCAGAATTGTACAATCATAAAAGGGAGATTGTTTATATCAAGGTGGACAATTCTTCTTAAGAATCAAAGACATGGACAATTAAAAAAAAAGTGATTAAGCGTGACTCACTGGTAGAGTCATTAATGCTCAATCTAATATGATAAGAGTAAGGGGCACAGAATAAACTAAGTATTGACTCAGGCTTTTGGTATGAATGTCACCATCCATTTTTATCAAATCAGATTACAGAATTTTATTTGGTTACAGATTGATCCTGTGATGTATAACAGAAATAACAAATAATCTGTTTCTACATGATTCTGCCTTGCATCCTGGAAAATCACTGTAATGTTATTTCTTAATTTAGGTCTTCCCACACAAGAAACAAGGTTTACCTCTTACTCTGTGTAGAGCACCCATCAACTCCATTTTCATCACAAATGAAAAGCTATATGCTTTGCTGACATGCAATGACTGTTCTACCCATGCCTTGCTAAGAGACCATGGGTAGAAGGAAGGATTTTGAGCAGAAAAGGAAAAAGTTCAACCTCTGTGCCACATTTTTTGAGGATGCTCTGGGGTGAAGTCTGGCAAGGAAGTTGACACAGCATAAATATCTGGACAGGAGATTTTAAGATTGGGAAACCACATCTGACTTCCTCCTAAAGATGACGTAACAGATGAAAAGATTGTGAATCTCTTTTTGAAAGATGACCTGTCAGCCTGCAAGCAATTACTGAAACTACAGGTGACGGAGAGTAACTAAGATTTCCTTTCAGTGAGGGAGAGTGCTATAAAATACCCTAGCAGGGCTGAAACTCTGGAAACATTGAAGAAGTCTTGAGCACGTTAACTTTACAGCTTATCTAGTGCTGAAGGCTACTTCAGTGGCCAAAAGCGAGGAAGACGGTGAAATAATCAGGCCAGTCCTCTACATACAAAGCCCAGCACCTCTTGGAGAACTCCATGTTACAGTAACTCCCGTAACAGGAGGCAAGACTTGGTGAGTCAGGGGAAATCAGACATGCTCCCACAATAAACTTAATTAAACTGGATTTAATCCAGGAGAAAAAAAAATCCTATCTTACATTCTGCAAGGAATGACCTTATCAACAGGAATATTCAAGAGGCTGGAAGCATTTCTGTCTTAATAACTGCCCCTCTTTCATGTCAGTCAGGGAAGTTCCCAGTACATTTCCTATCCAACCAAATACTATATTTTCACCATGAACACTAACTACAGGCCTGAAGGAAGAGGCAACTGATTCAGGGCATGATGGCTCATCTTACAATTATACTGCTTACGCAAAGGAGAGTTAACAAGAAACACTTAGTGCAACAGTTTGCAAGAGGTTATGAGAAAAAGCCATGTCATCATACATTATTTTACTGTATGTCAATTTCACAGAATTATTAGAAAGTGGAACTGAGTAAATTCAAAGTAAGGGAGTTAATGCATTCTGAGAATTAAAGGTTCTTTAAGTTAATAACTTCACATAACTTTTCTCCGATGTTTTTTATTTTACTTCAATTGAAATTGCACTAGGAATAAAAAACAGCATTGAACGTAAAAATTATTAGATATATTCCCCATAAAATACAATTACAGTACACTAGTCAAGTCCACCTATTATTTAAATCATTTCAAGATGATTATCTATGCAGACTACTTGTTCTATGCACTGCAATTAAGAAGAAAAATGTTATATGTACACTGCAATTAAGAAAAAAAGCAAGGCTCAAAATTGCCCAACATTTCTGTACATTAGGATTTTGGAATTTAGATATTCCACAATAAACTTTATATGTAGGACAGTTATTCATTTAAGGGTATTCTTACTTTTGGAAGCGAAATTTTTGACAGCAGAGATCAAAACCTCACACTTCAAGATAATGGGTACCCCAAGTACTTCATATATTTGAGATGTCAAGCCAGGCTCTCTGAAATGAAAAAAACTCAATACCACTAGCAGCTTTAAAAGTGTTGCCAAAATACAAAAAAATAACAACTTCTAAAACTAAATGATATACCTCTTAAGTTCCACACCTGACTGGACAGAGTTATTTGCTGAATATACTCCTTTAAAACTTAGGTGAAGGAAAGAAAAGAAAAAAACTCCCCTGCATTTCATTCTTACCTGTATCATTGACAAAACTTTCCATTTCCTCTACTGTGCTGCAGTGTGCTGATCAAGAGTTGTTAACTGCCAAAACCTCCAGGAACCCCCTTTAAGAAGCCTCACTAGTACTGTGGAAGGAATGGTTGCTGAATGGTTTAGGATGCCAGATTTAGATTCCTAAAATCTCACTCCAAATCCCTCACCCTCCCTTGGTGATAAATAGGGATGTCATCCAACTTTAAGAATTTCTGGGCCAATGCCTTTTAAAAATTTTATTAAAATGAGTTTAGTTCTTACATATCTTAACTTATCTACACTTTCATTCTGTCTGTTGCTTCCCTGCTACAGGATAGGGATGGATTAAAATAAAAAAAAACTTGATGGAAAATATTAGAATTCATTTTAATTTTAGTAGTTATGTTTGACTTTCTGGGGAAGAGACAAGCATGTAGAGTTGCCCAATGCTCTCCACCTTCAACTGCAGATGACAATCCTTCTGCATTACAGTTATGCAGTGGTTACATGCAAAAGAACAAGCACAATAATAGCTAAAAATGCAAGGAGCTGGTAAATTAACAGCTGGATTCTGTTCAGGTAATGTATATAAACAATAAAACAAATTTAGCTGAAAGGCAACAATTTCCTTTAAATATCTTTTTAAATTCTTGTTTAATTCAATTAGGATCCAGAGCAAGTTATCCAAACTGCTCTTTTTTTTTTTTAATTTCCTGGCATTTCAGTGCAAACACCAGTCAGCATACACAGGCTACTGTCATGCTGGCACTGCAGGGATGTAGAAAGGACTACACACAAAAGGTGTGTTTCATCATCCTACACTCATAGTGTCCGTACAACGTGACTCAACATTACAACTTTCATGTTCTGGTTTTGGACTATTTACTCAAAATATGAGCTCTGGTCACTGTCTACAATAAAGGGGACAATTGTGCTGCACTTCCTTTGGTCTATATGGTCATAACATTAAAAGCATGACAAAGTAGAGTGACTCAAGGAAATCTTTCAGGACTTTCTAGTAAAAGTAGTCATGAACAAACTTCTGATGCTGAGATTTTTCAGCCTGTTCTAAATGATGTAAGCAAAATTTATATGGAATTATTTTATGTTTATTGCCAAGCTGGAGTTTGAGTAAGTAATATAAATGTATGTTTAACACACAAAGACATAGACACAAAGGCAAATAGAGACATTCCTACTGCATATATTATATTCTAGAGGGGAGAGACTAAGTGGTAAACTTACACTATGATTTATTTACATTTTTCATACATAAATAATTTTATGATCCACTGATTGAATAAATAAATACTAGACCTAGCAAGATAGTCCAACTGCCCTACCCCTTTTCTTGAGAAGTCAACAGTTGAACACTTCTGCAACAGAAAGTGCATCAGTACCAGTAGTCTCCACCTCGTATCTAACACCCGGCTTCCACCCAAAGCCAAAGCGCCTGGGGCAAAGCCTGACTGAACGCACACAGCCGAGCCTCTAGACAAAGAGACCTTCAGTCCAGGATTAGAGCCTGGCAAAAAGCTCCCGAGTTACCAGCTTGAAGCCAGACTCACATCAGCAAAGCATTTGCTCAGAGGTTTTGATTTTCTCTACAAATTCGAGTACGACTCTGTTGCAGTCGTTCCACAGTCCTCCTCTCCCGGCTTGAGAAGGTAAGCAGCAGGCGATCCTACTCGGAGACTGCACAAGGGAGTGGCACGTTATTCTGCCCCTTCCTTGAGCTTCCTTTTTCTGTGACCATGCCTCGCAACTTCTCTGAAGCTCTCTCTGCTCCCCAGTCATCTCTGCCATCCATGCCTGTGCCCGCTATCGTCCCAGGGCTATAGTGGCAGCAACAAAAGGGCTTGAACTTTCTGTTCCACTATTTCAGCCGAGTTCAGAGTAACAACAGCAAAAACGCCAAGCTGCTGCGAGAGCTCTAATGCAATCTTTCTGCTGATTTTGGAAGAAAGCTTTGAATCAGGTGATACCTGACTCCTTTTTAGACAACTATCACAAGTGCTACTGCTATCAACACAGCTAAGCCCTGAGAGAATGAAGGGAAGGATCCAATCCACTATTAATGGATGCACAACATTACCAACTAATGTTTTGGACATGGGTTAAAACCAAAAATAACATTTTGATTTAATATAATCTTCTATTTATCATAAGCAAGAAGATATGTTAAACTTAGTGTAATCTGATTCTACCAGTACTAAGAAGTTAGCTACACCAACTGTACATAAAGCAAACAAAACCCACAAAACTAACAAAAAAGCAGTAACTGCTAGCTACCCAGACCTTAAATGTGGCCTTCAGGAATGCAATACAATCAAATTCACTAAAGAGCCACAAAGGATGAAGTAAATGATCAGCAATCAAAGTCAGGAAGAAATCCCAAATTTACACATACTCTGTTGTCAAAACAGCTTTGCAAAATTAGGGACACAAGGGGGACTTTCAAGCTCTTCTCTGAGGTGCAGAGGATTGGTCAGCCAGAGGCAGTTCAGCAAAACTTGGATGAACTATGACTACTCTCTTACCAAACTGCTTCAGCTTTTCATTTTACTATTTCTTAAGACCCCGAGGGCTTACTTACACCCTTGCCAACTCAAACTCCCTTTCAGCATATTAAAACAGTAGCTGATGCTCGGTGCTGAAAGGGAAATAACTGACACGTATTACAGGACAGAGGAATACACAGTGGAGATGTTCAAGCACTTTTTAACAAGATTTTTAGTGTCAATTTGTCAAAGCAAAAAGCTGTCATTAGAAAACTACATCAGTTTTAATAAAACTTTTTGGGAGAGTTTAATCACATTTATACCCAAAACAGCTGGCCTGTACTCAGCCAGGTCATTCTCAGGTGGGGCTGGGCGTGGCTAATGTTCACCCTATTGATTTCAGAGCAGGCACATGAATTTTGGTCTATCTCATCCCCAATACTTGTTCTTTCTCTCTCTATACATAGTGAGTGATACCAAGAAGCAGGACTGCCCCACAACCAACCATATATTCTGCTCTAGCATGCAAAAAATTCAGGGCTGAATTAATCTGAAATATGCAGAAAACAGGTTGGATATGACTCTCCCCCTGCACACACTGTCCTGTTCTGCTCTACTTAGCCTCATCTCTTTTTCTGAACTTTTTTCAGAAACATTTATACAGCATTATAGCTGCTCACAGACAGTAATTTTAAAGAGAAGAAGGAACTGGAAGGAGAAGCCAGGCCCAGTTGGTATGATCCTCCTTACTCTGCATATACTGGGGAAAAAGTTTTACAAGCAACAAAACCTGTTTCCCTCCACTTTAGCCATATCAAACATCATGCTTGCATTACTTCAGTTCCTAAATTAAAAGAGATAATCCTCAAACACACATAAAAGATAGGCCAAAGCAAACAAACAACCCAAAACCCCACACCTTAATTTTTTTCAGACACCACCACATAATAAAATTCACTGTAATTACATGGCCATTTTTTCACAACACTGTGGATTTGGAAGGGGATAATGTCTAAAGTGAGATTACAAGACATGGTTTCAGATTTTTATACATGATTTTGATTCAGAATGACTTAATGACTAGGAAGAAGCTATTTAATTTCTCTGTATCAAAAACAGTCATAAAAAATAAAACCTATGCTCACTAGGCCACACAAGAGTTGAAGAACTCATTAAATTAATAAATTTGGCATTTTTGGTAAAAGGAATTTAAGCATAAGAAGCAAAATAATACTTGGAAATATCTCATAGTAAATGTAATCAGTCGCTTACCAGGAAGGTCTGTGTGAGTATGTGCTATTCAAAGTGGAAAATGCCAGAGAAATGCAAGATGTTGGCAGATTTTGCAATTAGTAAAGAACTGGTTTTCATTACTGTCAGCAAAGACATCACACCAACTTCCTACACGAACTTTAAAGTGCCTGGAAAAAAAAGAAGTCTGCAAGTATCATCACTGAACACACACAAACCCATAAAAATAAACTGATATAAGAAAAGCTAGTACTCGCTTCCTACCATCTTCCTTTTAGATGTTGTGTATAAGCTACTATTTTCATTTCTCTTGAGGTTTCTCACTAGCACCATCCTTCACTCATAGTTGAAGGGTTTTGGTTACTGGAAGAAAAAGCATTTTTCCACTTAAGACAACAGTCCAAAAACACCATGGTTGAGAAAACTTAGCAGATTCATGCCTTTCTCAAAAGATAAAGGGGTGTTGCAATTAGTGCTGTGGTTAGAAACTCATTACCAATTCTCTTTGGCTTAGGAGGCAAAAGCATTCAAACAAAACACCAGCATAAGAATGGTTAAGTTCATATTTTATAGAAGTTGCCTAGGTCAAAATATGATCATTATCGCAGATGTTCATTTAAGCAGGCATCCATATTTATGAAACTTTAAAAGTGCCTCAAAACTCCATTATATTTTACAATTCTCCATTAATGGTTATTTAAAAAATATGATATACAAGAGTAACAGCCAGAAAATTTCTAATTAGTTAGATTTCACAAGTCTACAGAGTCACCTTCTGCCCAAAGTGATTTGCAGTTCTGTGGGGTTTTTTCTAACAGGACTGTAACATTAGGCAGCAGCTGCTGACTTTGCATAGAACTACACTTTGCATAGTGAGTACAAAGGCACAATTGTTCTGACAGAGAATGCAATGTAATGGTTCAGGCCACAGTGACAGCTTCGCTATATTTGGTAGAGAAATTGCCCACAAGTGTGGTCTGTTTTCCTAATGACATTAATGGGTTTTGGAACAGGCCAAAAGGAATCTTCTACTTGGGGGGGGCATTTATTTTTAGCATTTAATTGACAATTCAGTAAGTTAAATGCACGAGATACACAGTTCTAGTAGTTAAGTCCCATTTACAATCCATATCCTCAAGACACAGACATGATAACAGGAAGGGAAAAAAAAAAATCCTCACACTTAGCCTACAAACCTTTCCAAAAGTCAGAACTTTCTATTTAATAGTCTGGCCAACACAATGGACCGGACAGGATGAGACAGCCCATACGTATGCATTCACTGTGCTTCTTAATCCATCACCTCCATCTACTCCAATTTAGCAGTCTTGTTCATCATGCATGTTTTCTAAAATGCAATCCCTTGGGAGCTATGACTGCCACTTACTACAAGACATAAACATTTGTACAGATCTTATAACTTCTCTGTGTGTGCATATAAATGTATAACTTTATAATCACCATAAACATAAAAGGGTAGTTTATTAGAAAAGTGCACATTTCTACAAATCCTGGCTAAGGATATAACCACTGTTATAACTGACTGATAATACCAGTAGGAAAAGGAATGTTTAACTGATTTACATTGAGATTATTTCAAGGAAAATATTAGATAAATATCAAAGATGAGTCAGTTCAATGGCTTTACTATCAGATAGCCACAAAAAAAAAAATGTCACCAAATCAAATCGTGTATAGTTCTGAACCTGTGTTATGTGGAAGCTTTTGACCCTATTATTTTGTGTCTCCTTCCTAAATCTGCATATTTAGGGTTGGGAGCTAGAACGATGGAGACAAGGATTCTTATTTGCAAACAGCCTACTTTATATCTCAAAAAATATGCTTCCAGCATCCTAAGGTGGTGAAAATAAACAATGAACAATATTTAAATTCATAACTAAGCCTATAAATGCCTGCCAATGTAATTTTGTTATCAGCAGACAAAAAGAAGCACTGTATCCACCATTACCAACACTACCACTCATTTGAAAGGGAACTGCATCTCAAAAATTAAAAGGAGTGCTTGAAAACAGAGCTGTGCAGTCTGCATAGGAGACTACTCTGCTCAGAGACACAGATGCCAGATGTGGGAGTCACCTCACTTAACTTCAAATGCCTATCATACAGAAGTCTTCATCCATGCTTAGCTAGCAAAGACGCACATAATTTATGTGGCCTGTTGGGTATCTGCTTTAGGAACAAGTTAATTTTATCCTGGAAGCACCTGTTTTTCTTCCAGGGATTACTTAAAGAGACTGGGCAACTCACACTTTGACTTCTACAATGTCTGTATTAGTCAGTCCAGATCCCAAAAGCTTCCACCACTACACATGTCAACAGTCCTGGAAGCCAAAGTATGCAGCAAAAGCATGAACTGACATGGAAAATGTCATCTCAGCAACCATCCCTCTGGGAAGGGAAAATGTATTGGGAGAAAAAGTGCAGTCTCCATGCCCCTGCCAAACCTGCCAGCTGATACAGGACCAACACAAGCCTCAGTTACCACTGGCAACCACCCATGGATTTCATTATGAATGTTAGAGAAATTAGTAAAATCTCTACAGTGATGGCCCCATCATCTATCAATATATGTCTGACATTTTTCCCCTCACCAACACTGTGGTCTTATTTTTAATGGAAATCATCTCATTATACACAATACTTTCACACTGAAGAACTAAATGATATTTCTAAGGAAAGTCCACCAATTCTCACTTGCAGTATTGCCAGAGTATTTTCCATTTTAAAAAAATAAGTCTAAAGTTTAAATTTTCATTCGTTACTTTTACTTTCCCCATAATCTGTTTAAAATTTTAAAACATATTTATTTGGAGCTTCTTGGTGCTTTGTTTGCTCCTGCTTTGTGGACCACTTCCAGATGTCCTAGAGACCACCTCCCGTCCCTGCACCACGGGCTGAGTAACGCTGCTCCAGACGTTGACACACAGGCTACTGGAAATTGGTACAGTCAGGAAATTCGTATCATTTCTGAGGTAAACAGCAAATGAAAGCCCTCAGGAAAGTCTGAATACCAGGGTGGCTGGGGTTTTTTTTAGTAAAAAAGAGAAAGTTCTTTTGAAAGTATTCTGTTACTACATCACGTTATTATAACCTAGGGCAGTGATGAGATCATTTCCATTACTAAGACAGGTTCTGGGATTTGTTTTTCAGACTGGTGAGAAAGACGCAGTTATATCACTGAGGCATGGCAAACAAACACATGAGTTCATCACCTCTCAGAAAGATGATAGCCACTTCCACTGCCACTGCCCATGAAATCAAAGATAATCCTTCCACAGATTACATGGACCTTCTGTTTAGAAAGAAGCAAATGAAACAAAACCAGACCAGTTGTAAACTCAATTTCAAAACATGTCATGTGACTGGTTCCGCAGGCTCCAGCTGGGAGCTGAAACACCAGCTGAACCAGAGCTGTGAGAAAGGACTAGGTTTTATTGCTTAAACACTCTCCAGACTGTATGTCACAGATATTTTTGCCATGTACTTGTCTTTTGAGCAACAGCCACTGAAATGTGGGCTTCCCTATCAATGTCAAGTATACAATTAGGCAAGAATTCAGTTTTGCTCCCTCAAGGTCACCCCTCTTCTTAGGATACCACCCTGAAGGATAAAGGAGACTTGATCCACATCAGTATTTTGTATCAGGTGAAGAATAAATTTGAATTTTATCTCCTGTCTCTAAACTCCACGCACTAACCATGGGCCATGTGGTACTCTGAGCTTCTACCTGTAGTGCTAGAAAGTTTCCATGGGAAACTAAGTATTTTCTTGTATTTTATAGTCAGTTTTCATATACTTGAACCTCTGGGTACAAGCAGGAGACACCTCCTTCTCTGGCTGCTACACAAGTCTATTCCCAACATTCCAGCCCAAGCCATTCAATTAATTCAATCTGAATTCACAGTTCCCAAGTACCCGCCAGTGCTGTCCTCTTCCAAACTATATGGAAGTCACCAAAGTTGCAACATACCTGAATACTGCATGTAAATTAAAACAGACCCAAACAGAGCTATTTCCTATTACTCCTGAAGCAATGTGCACCTGGAAAGTCATTGCTACACTGCACTGGATCCAGTCCTTTGGTACTGTCAGGAATACGTGCTAAGAAAGACAGCAGAGGCTACCCAAAATGTCAATGAAACCTGCTCAATGGCCTCACAGGAATACCTCTGAATAGTCTCAGCTCATTCCATATTCATTGTTATTCCCCTAGGTATGACCAAAAGCTATGAACTGAAGTACATTAAGGCAAAAACAGACTGGCTGAAACATTTCCTATTCTGGCTATTTTAGGCCAACTGACAAAAGTAATCTATTCAAAGTATCATGAAAATTGAAGAAGGGCGCCTTATGATAACTGTGTTTAATAAAATACATTCACATTAGGATGAAATCAAGTATGCAACCTTACTGAGATAGCAGCATTGGGGGTTTTTTTCCCCTCTTTTTTTTTTTTTTTTTTGATTGTCTAATTCTCCTGACAAAGAAGTCATAAACAGCATTTGGTGCCAAGAATCAAACTGGTATTCTTCCAGTGCTTCTTAACCAGCTACATACACAGGAGGAGTTTAAATTATGTGATTGAAGCATAAATAAGTATTTTTATCTCTCTTCTGTTATGTAACCTTGCCATAGCAGAAGAAGAGTGCACAAAGGTGGTCACTAAGGGACAACGTGGAGATTTTGGGAGACAACAATGGTAGAGGAGCACTTTACAGTGTGTATTCAAAACCTTTCCTGTAACAGAAAGTACATCACTTTTAGGTTCACTTTTACTCTCTGAAATTCTTAGTAGGCTGAACAACTCTTGGCAACCACAAAAAAGCTGATTTTATGAATCGTTTCATACAGTAAGTATCTGAGCCTACTGAGGTGCATAAGACTGTCTTCCTGCAGGGAACAGCCACTGTACTTAGAAGCCCTACCCACACCATTGCTCCTCACTTGGGATTAGATCTTTATCTAGTTTCAGAGTCTGCATGCCTTCATCTGCAAGAAACCCCCAAATTCGAAGTTCCA